AGGCAAGTATTACCCGCACGAAACCGAGACCCCTCCCCCCCGCCCCGATCCCCCACCCCCTTGCTCCACTCACCCCCTCGGGAGGGCCGAAGAGAGGCGCCCGTGGGGACCCCGCAATTGCCTTCCCCCCTCGGAGGGCCGGACTGAGGCGTACCCCGAGGGCCCCGCTCTGTCCCTCGCATAGCGGCCACTCTTCGGATCGCTGGTCGAGCGACCCGGGGGATGCCCCGCGCGCCTGACCCAGGGGCGCGAAAACGAATCTGCGAGGCGCGGCCGCTTATGCGGCCCGATGGGGAGGAGTGGGGCGGACTACGGGGGTCGGCTTCTTACACAGCCCTTCCCTGCAGCGAGCCCCCTCCAACCCACCCGCGCTAGGTCTCGGGGGACGCAGGGGTCACACCCGACGACCTCGGGAACTAGCCGGGGCAGTCGGAGAAGGGGCAACTCCGTGCACTGACGGTCGGCCGCCAGAAAACACGCCTGCGTGGATCGCGTCACACCAATCCTCGCTACCCAACCGGCCAAAGGATATCCACCTCGAGAACCGCGGGCGCCTCGAGAAACGGACGAGAAGTTAAAATGCGAGAGTTCTGGGGACAAGATCAGACCGCACATTACTCTCGAAGGTGTGCACATGTGGCTCGCCCACTGTGTTGCGGGCGTGGGACCGACAGACCCGCGTTTCGTCGCCGACGTGCAGGGGTTGGCGAGACGCTCCCTCCCATCGACGCGGATCGCGGTGGTGGTGCCCATCTGCGTCAAGTGCGGAGAAGCGACAAAGCTGATTGCCACAGCAAACCGCTGGACCAAGTCTAGCGGGTTGCCGTGCATGGCAGCGGCAGGAGTTGAGTATACCGCTTCCGCGTCTTCTTCCGACGCTCGCCTCAGATCGGAGTGCGAAATGCTGCCATCCTCCGATTTCGTGCCTCGGCCTGGGAGGATGCAAGACCTCGCCAATGGTGACATCTCCGCAGACCTCATAATCTACCAAGAGATGGAGTTTGTGCAGCGTGCGACGGCCATGCGGCTGTTCGGCCGCGCGGCGGCCTGCTTTCGAAACCTCGCGGTCGTCACCGCCCACCTCGCGCACGAGGACGACAGCTACCCGCGTGCGCCCAACGTCATGTTTTATCAGCTGGCAACGGAGCTGCTCAAGCTTCGCGCGTACAGCTATTGGGTGCAGCTGGAGACGGACTCAGTACCGCTGCGCCCTCGCTGGCTGGAGTATCTAGCAGCGAGGATCCCTCCACGGACAGACGGCTTTTGGGTCAAGGGGAGCGCTCCGAGGCATCACTGCAGCTGGTGCAATTTGGAGGAGGGATACCACATCAATGGGAACGCTCTGTATAACGCGCGCGACGAAGCCTTCCTCGCCTTCATTCAGCGCACATGGAGCTTTGCTGGCAACCACACGGAGCCGTACGATGTCGCCCTCTTCGAACGGGCGCGTAGCAGCGACCGGAGTACTTGGACGATGTTGGGCGGCAAGTCTGTCGGCCGGCTGTTTCAGTTCTCCGATGTCATCGTGAGCTACTACTGGCCCATCGCATTCGAACGCGCCGTGAGGCGCTACCCTTGCGCGGTGCTCTTGCACGGCAATCACTCTCGCTCGCACGCCCAGGATCTCACGTCGCGCCTCACGAGTAGAGCCATCCTGCAAAATGCTGGAAGAAGGCTTTGACGACCGGGGGGGCCGGGAGCACCTAATCATTGAGTGCCCTCTTGCTAGAATAGCACAAGCCTCGGCCGAAGTTTTCTTTTATAGGGAGCAGATCCGGGATCCCAATAGGGCAATCATCACGGATGAAGAGTAATAAGAGAAAGAGCCGCGCGGCCCCGACGCAACTCGTCTACCGCGTCGTCAGCGAGACCCATCTCGATGAAGAGCGGCGAACGGGCAGCGACCAGAGACACCGCGCCCGGTCATCGCTCTCGCCGCCCTCACTGGCTTGGCACTCCTTGTATCTCGCAACAATCCCAACAGCAATGGCATGGCACCAGACCTGCCTGCGTCTCGCCACCCACCGGAAAAGCAGGACGACGTTGCAGTTCCGTCTCCTCCGCAACTGTTTTTCTGCGACGAGAGCCTTTGCACAAGCGCCAATGGTGACTGCTGTGCGCCGACGCACGGCCAGTGCGACGATAGCCTCTGCACGAGTGCTGGTGGCGACTGCTGTGCGCCGAATGGTGAGGAGGCGACCTGCAGCGGCGGTTTTGTGCCCGTGCGTACATATGAAACCTGCCAAAACTGGATCGGAGGCGCGTACACGTGCTGCTCTGGCGAGGAGGCGACCTGCAGCGGCGGGTTTGTGCCCGTGCGTACAGGGAATGATTGCCAGAACTATTTCAAGGGAGAGTACACGTGCTGCTCGACGACCGCGCCGCCGTACCCGCCACCCTGTGCTTATCCCGCGCCACCCCCTGGGGCGTGGCAGCAGACGCCCTACCCCTGCCCCCCTCCCCCGCCCGCCCCTCCTCTGCCGCCGTCCGTCCCCCTCTCCTGTGCAAATTGTTACGTAATCCGCGGCGTATTCGGAACCCGCGGCGTGTGTCCTGGCGGGTCCGGATGACGAAGGCAAACGTGAAGGCATCTGTTATGCTAGCAATCGACCGGGCGATAACGGCCCTACCTCGGCTTGCACGCCGGATCCAGGCCAGGGCCCTACCTTGGCACAATATGGATGCCTTATTGCGGCCGCCAGCAGCTCCGCCCTCTCCGCCCGCTCCGCCCCCTGCACCCTTTGCGCAGACCCTCAAGTACGCCCCGCTCTGCCAGAACTCGGTGTTCTACTCTACGCAGTGCAACCTCTCCGCCCTCGCCATTGGCCTCATCGTGGGCGCGGCATGCATCGGCGGCATCGTGACCCTGATTCTAGTCGTGATCGCCTGCAAGTGCGCCCTGAGCGACAAGGCCGCCGCCGCCCCCAAGGCGGCCTCCGCTGCGACGCCGGCCGCGAGCGGCCGAGCGAGCGCCTGCTCCACCACCCAGCGAATGACCGCCGCATGAGCTTCATGAGTTTGTGCTGCAACCTCCAATCGCTACCTCACACATCGCAGTATCCTTTTCGTCGGAGGGCGAGGCCGGAGAGCTTCCATCAGCGCGAGCCGGAGCTTTTGGCGCCGAGCCATCTCGCCTCATCACGCACGGCGCCTAAATTCTTCTCAGGGCGCATTTCTCTTCTTGACGCGCGAGAGGGCAACATCGAAGCTCGGCGACTATGCTCTGCTGTTTGCCGAGCGCGCCGGCCGCCGCGATGCACCCCGTGCGACAGGAGCGTGGGGTTGGCATCCGTGGCCCCAACCAAATACACATACTTAAAATCTATTCGAGCCGCGTGCTCCCTGTCAGCAGATTCACGCTCTCCGGCTGATACTGCACTGTTGTGGTGAAAGTGAGGGGTGAGGGGGCTCAGGGCTGATCTGCAGTCAGCTCGTCCACGAGCTGTTGCACTCGGCTGAAGCCATGACGAAAAGCGTGCAAGCCGGAGAGCACAGCCCTCCACTTGCGCCGAAGGATGCCGCGCTTGTCGTGCTCCAAGTCGTGCGTTGCGACCTCTCTCATCATCTCCTCGAAGCTCGTTGCGAGCGCCGGAACCACCCCAGGCAACGGGAAATCGTCGCCCGGCGACCTCGCCCCGCTGATCACGTTTCGAAGGCTGATCTGCATCGAAGCTGTCCGCTCGGCGCCGAATTGCTGGCGGAGCAGGCGCAGCAGCCCATCGGCCGACTCTGTTCGTGTGGCGTCGCGAAGGAGGCCACGCAGCGCGCGGATCTCCGCGTGAGCACGCAGCGCATGATGCACACATGCCTTCGGGTGCGTGCCGATACCGAATGTGCGCGTGAACCAGCGCAGATAGAGGAACGCCGCGCCGCGGTCGATCGTTCGCCCTTGACTGGCCCTCCAGCCGACGACGCTGTCGAGGGACGCATGGAAGATGCCGCGTCGCCCATCTGGCAGGATCGCGTCGACGGAGTCCCATTGGAGCATACCCGCCGGCGAGCGGCGCCAAGATTCTGGCTGGAGCCGCGAATCGCTCACCATGTCCTGGCCAGAGTGGAACATGTCCTCCAGCCGCAAAATCAGCTGGTTTCGATCCATGGCCTCTACGGTGGCCACGTCCGAGAGGCCCAGCTCCAGCGGCTGCACGCCAAGAAGCCGGCTGACCAGCAGCGTCTGCCAGCAGGTCAACGCATTTGCGCGGTCAACGAACCGGTGGTTCGGTTCGTTCCGTAACCACAAGATGTGAGTGGCGACACGGTGCGCGAGTCGCTCTGCGCAATGCGCCGCCCACTCCGTGAAATCGATCTCGACGAGTCGAACCTCCTCCACTGCTGGAAAGGTCGTCGTGCACTGGAGAATCTTGGCAAGCTCGGCGGCATGCAGGCTGCGTACTGCCTCGCAGACCTGCTGCTTGAGCTGGGCGCACACGGCGCGCAGAGCTGCCAGCTCGTGGATTGACAACTGCTCGGCTCTGACCTCCAGCAACACGTCGAGGCTGTTGGAAAACTGTGCGTGCATGTTGAGCGGAGACGCGGCCGAGGGAGACGAGTCTTGTGCACGAGCGATTTTTTATTTTTTATTCTACCAGTTAGAGGGCTCAGCGGGTATTTTTCGCTTCGCTGCGCGGCCCCGCAATAGGTAGGTAGGTGGGGCACGGAGCCTGGCGGTTGGCGCCCGCAATAGGTAGGTAGGTAGGGCGTTTTGGTGTGAGTCTAGGTAGGTGTGAGTCGGCAGACCCCCTATCTGGGTAGGAGCCGGAACCCTGGCGGGAATAATGGCTGGGAATCTCTTCGTGCTGTTTGCGTCCGTCGCCGCCTTCAGCCCACGCCACTGGCCCTCCCGCTCTGGCCGCACCCGGCACGCCATTCCCGCCGCCGACGGCTCCGCCGACGAGGGATTGCCCGAGCTGCAGCGTTGCGTCCTCGTCGCCGAGCTGGAGTGCCGCGCCAAGCAGTGCGTTGTGGACGGGGACCTGGCGGGCGAGGCCGCCTCTTACCGCGAGCTGCTGAGCCTCGAGCCTCCGACCGCGCCGTGGCTCTCCGCGGCCACCAGCGCGCGGCGCGGGCTGCAGGAGCTGCTGCTGCAGAGCGCGCAGCGGGAGCTCGAGCAGTGCGGAGAGGAGGGGTGCCGGCCCGACCCTGGCCAGTTCGGAGACCACCTGGGGCCGCTCATCCAGCAGGCGAGGCGCGCCGGCGAGGAGGTGCGGCAGACGCTCGCCTCGCGCTCGCTCGACGACGTTGATCGCATCCGCTCGCTCGTCGTGGGCTTGCTGGAGAGGCGACACTTCCAAGACACTTCCAAGACACCACTTCCTGGATCTCTTGCACACTCTCCCGGCCTCCCGTCTCTCTCTCTCTCTCTCTCTCTCTCTCTCTCTCTCTCTCTCTCTCTCTGGAATGAGAGACCACAGGAGCAAGAGCAGCAAGGGGCGAGATGAGGTCGTTCTCGACGTCGCGCCCGCACCCTAGAACGCAGCCCGACAGTAGGGACTGCCGCGTCACGCGGTACAGCCGGAAAACGGACCGCCGCCCGGTTGCGCAGTAAGGGCGGGGCGGCGGGAGAGGGA